AAATCAATTTTAGGTGATAAAAAAGATTGTTTTATTTTTTTATTTTTAATAAAAATAAAAAGAGAAAAAACAATTGAGGGATATGCGTGACAACCTAACGAATTTTTTATGACGTATAATACGTCGTTTCGTACCTTGCCGTTTTATTACCTTCCCTTTCGAACTTGTACGCGTATGGGATTTGTCAAAAAAAAAAATAAAAAAATAAAAAAGGGAAAAAAGGTTGACATCGATGAACGAATGAATTGGCAAGATTGCAGAAAAAAAAAGAAAAATAAAAGAAAAAATAGCACAGAGGGATGGTTCAAAGGTTAGGAGTGGCGGGGGAGGGATGAGAGGGGAGGGAAGGATGAATACTTTGGACCAGTCGATACAGAAAAATTCGGTAATTTTACGCTCCGACGAAGCGGATTCTTCTATGCTAAGAGAAAAACTGGAACAAAGAGGAAGAAAAAGAAAATTAAAAAAAAAAAAAAAAAAATGAACAACAAAGCGAAGAAAGGAATAAAAAAAAAGAAATTCGATTTTGAAAACGTTGATAAAAAGAAAATACACGGGGAATAAAAAAGGGGATGAAGAGAAAGAAAAAAAAGAAGAAATAGAAAAAATAAAAAACAAGGAAAGAGATGAAAATAGAGTGAGCAAGGAGGGAGGTGGGGAAGAAGAAGGAGGAGGAAATAGATGAAGGGGTGGGTCTTAGCGTTTTAAACGATGTCGCTTCCGACTCGTTAAAAAATCGATAACTCGTTTAGGGATATCAGACAACCGAGTCGATTACTAGTTCGTTGCGTTTGTTATATTTTTTTATGCAGCAGACAATTCATTTGGGAGATATCTCCCCAACCCCCAAACCTCATCCCGAGCCGCCAGCATCCCTCATTCCTCACCACTCACCCCCTTTTCTATCTTTCTCTCTGGTTGCTGTTTCAGTTATTTTTTCTATTTTTTTATTTTTGTTTTGTTTTGTTTTGTTTTGTTTTGTTTCGTCTCCCAATTTTGTTATCGTCGCGAGATCTTTCTCTCTTTCTCTCTCTCTCTGTCTGTCTCTCTCTCTCTCTCATTCTCTCTTTTTTTTCTGTCGTTAGCGTTTAAGAATAAAGGGAAAATACCAAGAGTGTTGGAGAATCGTTACGATACTCAAATTCTACCAAAGACGATTAAAACTAACGAGTAACGAAGGGTACGATGATGATAATAACCGATGAAAGGAGTTGCGTTGTTACTCGCTAAATGACGTTGCATAGTTCGCTAGAAACATCCCCTTTTAAAACCTACCCCCTTCTCTTCTCAATTCTCCACCCACGTCTACCCCTATTCTATTTCTATCTCTTTCTCTTACTTGTAATTTATATAATATTGTTTTCTACGTTTGTTTTTTCATACTTCTTTTTGTTTTTATCTTCTTGTCAGAAAGAAGGTGGTTGAAATCACGATAATGATTAAATTCCAGTTTGCCCTATAAAGGTAAAAAAAAATGTAATTAGAGAGAGAAAAAGAGAGAAAGAGAAAATGTACTGGTTGTTATTTTTCCTTTTCTTTGCTTTAAATAATACGCATTGGTTTAATTAATTGTAAGATAGAAAGAAAAAAAGGTAGAAGGTTAAACGATCAAGAGAAACAAGGATGGAGTAGATTGTGATGGAAAAGTGGAAGTAGTAAAAGGTAGATGTAGACAGACGTAAGTAGAAATCCGTAGGATAAGGAGAACAAATAAGAGTCAAAAGAAAAGTTGGAAATACGAGAATGAGGGTAGAGAACGTTGTGAAGTTCGATTTCCTACGATCGTTAGGACAAATCAATAAAATAGTAGAAAAGAAAGAAAGAAWAAGAGAATGAGAAAGGATGAGAGAGAAGAAACAAAGCTTTACTTACTATATGTTAGTTCTTTTTATATCAAGTACTTTACTTTTAAACACTGTATCGTGTATCGTAAAGGAAAACATAGTTAACCAAAAATAAGAATACAAAAGGTACATTATTAAAACCTTTTTCTTTTTATCTTTTTATTAAACAATAGAAATATTTTAAATAAAGGAAATATATTTACTCATATATTTTCATTCAAAGTTTGTTGAAACTTCTAATATTATATATAATTATTATAATTAATTTTATAATTAATATTATATAATATAATATTATAATTTATTATTTAATTATTATATACAATAATATTATAATTTATAGTATATATTATAATTACAAAATTATTTATAACTTTGTGTATAATATAGTTTAATTTGAATAATATATTATGCTAGTATATTTATACTTAAATATTTAATTTTTTATTCTTTATCTTTAATATTTGGAATCGGAATTAAATGTATTAATAATGATGATTGCTACACTGAAAAATGTTTGCTTTTTATAAAAATATTAAAAGATTTCAAATTATATTACACTTTTTTATTTTCGAATTATATATAAATTAACCTCAAATAAAGTATTTCGGTAATTATCGAATACGAATAATATTTTTATAATAATAATAAAAAAAAATATAATCATTCGAGAACGATTAATCAATCAACATTTCTTTTTTATAAAATAGGCTTTTATTTCTTCCTTTTTTTTATTTCTTTAAATTGCAATTCAAAAACACATTTTCCTAAGTGTCAACGTTGTTCCCACTCATAAAAAAAAAAAACAGTCAAAAAATGAAAATCTTTAGTTTTAAAGTATAAATTGGTAATTAAATTCTCACTTGAGCCTTTCTCTTTTCGATGTTGGTGCATATTCATGAAATAATAAAGAATAAGAAAAGAAAAATGAAGAAGAAACAATAAAAAACGAGAAGAGAATAAAAAAAAAGATAAATACGGAGAGAGAGAGAGAGAGAGAGAGAGAGAGAACAAAACAAAAATGAAAAACGAACCAATGCACGAATAAATGAAAGAATAAATGAACGATGGATGGATAGACTGGGCCTCCTCTCCCTCAACTACCACCCTCCCCCAGCACCATCCCCGATGAAGGGCAATTAATTTAGGTCGGACGCATAAAACGCCCGACGATGATCGAGCTCTCTAATAAAATGAAAATTACGATGCGATAATGAACGGTTTTTGATATCGAGTGAGCAGCAACTTTAATTGACGGTCTATTTAATTTATCGCATGGGAAATGCGTAACGCGACTATGAAATTAACGTCGCATTACGTTTCGGATTCAACATTAATGACAAGGAGAAAAAAAGAAGAGGGAAAAATACAACAACATAAAAGGAGGTTGAGAAATAAAAGTGGTGGGACGAGGGGTTATAGATTCTTGAAATGGAAAATCAGATTTTTGCTTTTGTATACGAGATAAAAAAATAATTACAACGGTTCTTTGTCGAGATAGAGAAAAAAATCAAATTAAAATATGCCAAAAGTTGTACGAAAAAAAAAAAATATGATATATATAAATCAAAAAGTTAAAGGAAAGAAGAAATGATCGTGATAAAAGGAAAATAGATAGAAGAAATTTTTTGAATAAGAAAAAATGAGAAGTAGTATAAGTAGACGAATAAGAAGACGTTCTTCTGTTGTTCCCGTTTTCCACCCCCGGTACGGGAAAAGATTTAAAAGAAAAAAACAAGGCCCTTCTTCGTCCACTTCTCTTCGGAGTTTTTCAATTAAAATCGTAGGACGTAGTAAAAAAGAAAAAGTTTCGGTCCAAGCAAAATAGAGAAAAAGAAGTAAAAAAAAAAAAAAAAGAACTGATAGAAAGAAAAAAAAGGAGACAGAGAAAGAAAGAGATTGAAGAGAGAAGGTTTGTTGATAAGGGGATGAGGGTTGTTGCTGGGAAAAAAAGAGAGAAAGAAAAAGATAGGAAAAGGAAAAAAGGAAAGGGAGTATTGGATTTGAAATGTTCGGGGTGCTAGCAATATCCTCGAAGGGCTCCCTCTTTGCATTCCTTGAAAATGGGAAAGAGAGAGAGAGAGAGAGAGAGAGAGAGAGAGAAAGCTCATTCGAGAGGCGTGCGAATAAAGCCACGAAAAACCGTAGGAGTTTGCATGCCGAACCGCATGCGTTCGATATTCCGATATCCTGATATTATGGAAAGGGAAGGGAAGGGAAGGGTAAGGGAAAGGGAAAGGGACAGAAGGTGGTTAGGTATAGAACGGTTTCGAGAGTGTTTCTCCTGTAACTTTTGCTTATATACATTGCTAGATATATATATATATATATATACATATATGGTAGACATATACACCCTTTCACCCCTTCCACCGTCACCAACACCCAATTTCAACTTCTTTAACCCCCCTCATGTCTCTATGGAATTTATTATCTTTTTTTAGTTCTTCAGAATTTCAGTCTTTCACACAGGTTTCTTCTTCTTCTTCTTTCTATTTTTCTGTTTCTTCACTCTTCGTTCACTATCTTTGTATCCATCTATCCTTTTTTCACATAGAAACCACCTTTTTGCCTAAGGGTCTTCAGAATACTTTCTTTTCACCTTTATGGTATAGTAGTAAGACGAAAAGATTTCTAAGTAAGCCCTGTCTCTCTTTTTATGTGTGTGTATGGGTGCTTTTACGTAGCACCCATAAGTATAACGCAGCTTTTCGGGTCTCTCACTCTCTTTCTTTCTCTTTTTAGCGAAAAGTGCGATTACGACGACTCTTTTTTTAACGAAAGCGTTTTCTTTCTTCCTTAGCCTTCGAAAAAATCCCTTAATCGATCCACCTTTCTAGAAAGGACAGAAAGAAAGAGAGAGAGAGAGAGAGAGAAAGAATGAGAGAGTAAGAAGAAGAAGAAGAAGAGATAAGAAAAAAAAATGTTAAGAAAAAAATGTATCCTTAGAAAGGGAAAGAAAGAGAATAAGGGCTTTTCCGAATGATATATGAAGCATCATGGATAAACCTTTAGCGATTAGTAGAAACCTGAGAAAGGTTCTTATACGTTCTTTATAGTATCTACTTTACTTAAGTTAGATAATGTAGTTTTCGGGTATTTTTCCTTTTGATAAATATCATTCATATTAACGTTCCATTTTATTCTTTGTTTCAGATAGATAAAAAGAAGAAGAAGAAAATGAAGAAAAGGATGATGATGATTGTTTGTGAATTTCCCTCAAACATGGTGTAAAAATAGAAAGAAATATTGCAAGAAGAAAAATAGGTGAAGAAGAATAATAACATTTGACGTGAAATCAAAGAAACGCATCTAACATAAAAGTGGAAAAATACAGTGAAAGATAAAAAATAAAACAATTAGGGGGTGTTTTATGAAAAGGATAAAAAAAAATGCGAAATATATATTGGTGAACGGTCGATGAAGCATCATCATGTGCTCAAGCGTAAGAGCTTGGAGGTGGAGGGGAGCTCTCCTGGGCACGATGATGCTAGCATGGACTTGTATCGTCGAGGGTTGCCCAAGTATGTGTATATGTAAGTGGAAGGGTGGGAAGGAGTGGGTGGAGTGTGCTAACCGGGATCTGAAGGGACTACCACAGGGTGCAAGAGAGGAAACTCAGGTGTTGGATCTGTCGGAAAATTACCTTATCAGTTTGCCACCGGAATGCTTTTATGCTCTGGGACTGATCAATCTTCAGCGACTTTATCTTGGTAGATCTCAGATCAGTGGTATAGCCGTTAGAGCATTTATGGGTTTGGTAGGGCTGGTTGAGTTGGATCTGACGGAAAATCTGATTGCCGAGATACCAACCGAAAGCTTTTCCTCATGCCCAAATCTCATGAGACTGACATTGAACGGTAATCCTATAGAAGTGATCAAAAAACGAGCCTTTTTTCATCTGATGCATCTGACGAATCTCGAGTTGAGCCAATGCAGACTGGAGATCATCGAGGAAGGTGCATTCGATGGTTTGGTTTCTCTCGAATGGTTACGTCTAGATGGTAATCGATTGACGTATATGCCAAATCATACTTTACCCCTCGGTGGTAGCCTCAGAGGATTGACTTTACATAATAATCCTTGGTTGTGCGATTGCGGTTTGAGAATTCTTCAAGCTTGGCTCAAGGAATCAGCACCAGCTGCACCGCAAGAGTCAGAACCGATTTGCGATATGCCAGCAAGATTAAAAGATAGACAAATTAAAACGATTAAGGACAACGAACTTGCTTGTTTACCGCGAATCGAGTTGCAAGAACGCGTTGATGTTTACGAGGGTAGTAACGTCACATTTCAATGCTACGTTCATGCCGTACCGGCTGCTACAATCACGTGGTGGTTCAACGGGGAACCGTGCGAGCTTCAGAATGAAAATGATTCGTCTACCACGAACTTTTTGACTTATCCAAGGTAAGAAATATTTGTTTTTTGTTTTTGCATTTTTGCGGTTGATGGATCACGGAAGGTTCAAAATCGAGTCCGTTCTTTTTTTCTGATCTGTTACAGATACATCTATAGACAACGTGGTTCGACCAATATGTCAAGTACATTATACGTGTACTCGGTGGAGGCTAACGACGATGGCATTTACACTTGCATCGCTGAAAACACCGCTGGTACCACTGGGTCAAACGTCACACTGAAGGTTCTGTTCCGTGAAAAGGTAACCGCGGAACCACCCTCGGACGATCCAGGTTCCGGTTACGTAGCAGTGATAGCTGCCGGTGCACTCGTAGGAACTCTCTTCGTTCTCGGTTGCCTGGTCTTTAGCATTGTGTTTTGCATACGGAAACGTCGACGCGATCGGAAGAGGAATTCCAAAGCTTTGGTCTCTCAAAACAAATCTGTCATGCCTATAACGAAAGATACAACAACGAGTTTACCAAATTGTAGAAAAGGAAACGGCAGTTTGGTTGGTTTCGAACATCAACAGATCGTTTCTTACACGGAACGTGAAATAAACAGAGCGGCAACATTGGAAAGACGAGAACAACGTGGTAATAATTTGGAAGAATCTTACGGTAGTCCGGTATCGAAATATCTAACGGAACCGGACTTGATAAACGAAGTTCCTGAAACTACGGACGTGACCTATGGTCAGTTATATCGTCATCAGACAAACGAGAGGCACGTACTCGAATACGACTCTGGTTACCCGATCCAACCACCCGACTTACGTCCATCTAATATACCACAATTGAGTTACTTGGACCAGGATGGATATCCAATGAACTTTGGATTACCAAAGATTTCATACAATACAGCAAGTACCCTACCACGTTTAAGGACAAGAATGGTCGAGGGTTCAGCCGTAGCACCACCTGCCAGATATTCCAGAGAAGCTGAATTCTTAGCAAGATCTACGGCAGGTTATGATCCAGTTTTACCAAGAACCGATGCCAGATACACCGCCGAGGGTTATCCCTATCCAGCTCATCAACCGGTCGAACAACCTATCCAACAACAACTTCAACAACCCGTCGTATCACCGGTCATATCACCTGCCTCAGTTTTTCCCGAGGTTCCGTTCATACCGTCACCACCTGCTGCTTACAGAGGAGAAACCACACCACTATCGCCGAGATCTTTGCTCGGAAAGACTGCACGTGAAGCAGCTGCAGCTGCTGCTGCAAGGGCTGACGAACTTCAACCACCTCATCATCCAGAAAGTCCGGACGAGGGTTACGTTGGCGATGCTATGGACGTTTAAAAATAATCAATCATACAATCGTGATCGAATGATATTAACTAATGACGGTAAAGATGGTGGGAATCGATTTCTTCTTCTTCTACTTCTTTAATTTTAAATTTAAAAATGACCAAATCTTTCATTTTACTCTGTGCTTTCAACGTTCTTTCTTTTTTTATATAACAAAAAGTGAATACAAGTATTGAAACAGGAAGGTTGTTATATAGGTAATAGAAAAAGTTTATATAGATTTAGATTATTTAAACGCACTGATCGAAAAATATAAAATATAACAAGAAAATTGTTGATATATCGAGGTGTTCAATTGAAAAACATTTTAATGTGGGAACAAATTGATTATTAATTAAACACGTAATTCAAAATAGTTCATTATAAAAGTATTTCCATTGGTTTAGATTATTTGAATTTAGGAATAAGTAAATTATTAATATCAAGGTGTTCAATTTAAAAACATTTTATTATATATATATATACCTTTAAAGTCAATTAGTGGGCACAATTTCGTATTTCTTCTTTTTTTCTAATCTTTCTCTCAATCTGATCAATCAACCAATCATCTATCGTCTTTCTATATCCTTAGAAATGGATCGACGACGTTCTCGTTGACATATTCGTTCTCAACCCTTCGAAATGGGCGTTAAGACGACGTAGAATCGGAGGAAGCATAGAGGAACCTTGAACAAAGGAGGAATCCCACTGTCGGTACCGGGTCCTACGAAATTAATCAGCTAGGAGAGTGAATATCTGAAATTCTCGGACTACGAATACGACTATGACTATGACTATGACTATGACTATGACTATGATTACGATGACGATTAAGACAAGGTATCTCTCTCTCTCTCTCTACCTGAGATCATAATTCCTTGTCGTAGACACACGTCTTTCTTGACGTTCGTTGTAGAATCATTCGATTCAAACAATAATAATAATAAAAATCGACGTTTTGATTCATTTAAACGATCCGATATTGGGAAATGACATATTTGTAATAATTATCCATTGACATGTCAAAATTGATAGTTAGTATTATTGTGAAATATTATTATACTTATTTCATAATTAAACAAATCATTTTCATTAAATAGTTTGACTCGAATTAATAATTAAATATTAAAAAGATTATTCAAATCATATAGATTATTATAATAATTATTATTATTATTATAACTGATCCACAAAAATTATTATAAGTTAATTTAATCCTAATTGTATATATTATTAAATTTTTATTTTATGTATTAAAATAATTCACAATGATTTTGATATTTATATTTAAACAAAACTTTTTTATACGAAGTTAATCATTTTTGTTAATATGTATGAACGAAGAAACCATAGATTATGTACATTTTAAAAAGTAATCCAGTGTGACGTATGATGAACAGGAAAAAATCTAAAAAATTATACGAATATGACATACAAAAAAATATGTATAATTATTTTCAAAAATGATTTGAATTAAACAAAACAAGAGAAGTGATAGATAAGGAGAGAAGAGGTAAATTAATTGATAAGAGAAAAATACCGATGAACGACCTAAATAAAGAATGGTGTACACGATATTTTATGTATGTATTATATTATAATTATGTACGTATGTGCGTGAACTCGTTCGATCGCAGAACTATTCACTACCCCCTTGTTCACCCTCGATTCACCCCACCCATCAATAATTTCACCTTTTATAGACGTAAATGTTACCAAAAAGAAAGAAAAAAAGAAACCATATAAGTACGGTTTTTTATTGAAACTTTGAGACGTTTTTCTGAGAAAAAAAAAACCAAAGGAAAAAAAAAAGAAAAAGAAAAAGTGATGAAGGTAAAAAAGAATGAAAAGCAGGAAGAGGCTGGGTGGTGGAGGAGGAATTATACGAATGTGTAGTTATTCTGCTGTAGTGATAATAATGTTAATAACTCGGTGTTCATGACAGCCGCGTGAAATGATGGTAAAAAAAAAAAAAGAAAAAAAAATTGAATTCAAACTGGACGATAGATATTTAATGGTGGGTTCTAACTTTAAAATATTTAATGTACAGAGACTGTCGAGTATACATATAAAACATGTACGTGTATTATACACATTATAAATATATATATGAAATACATTAATAATAGTAATAATAATAATTATAATAATGATAATAATAATAAAAATTATATAAAATAAATGATAAAGGCGATGAAACTTTTGAACGGTGAAAGTAGTTATTTTTAAAAAAAAAATGAATTGACAAAAAAAAAAAGAAGAAAACAAGGAATTATCGTAGCCAATCGTACGATTTTTTCTTTGATGAACGTCTTGAACGAAAAGAAAAAAAAAAAAAGAAAAGAAAACGATTTGTATAAATAACCTTAATAATAATAATAATAATATTAATAATATTAATATTAATAAGAATAATAATAATAACAATAATTATAATATTAATAATAATAATAAATAAATAAAAAAAAACACGTTGGATTCTCACACGATCGATGCGAAGGACATTCGAGATAAGATTTATTATAATCATTGTTTTAATACTTGTAGTATTTTACATAAACAAATAGTATCGTGTAAAATTTTTCCCCTTTTTTTTTATTTCAATTAAATAATCATCGTCTATCTCGAATGTCCACGCAAATAAAATTTAACGTAACGTACATTAGAGGATAAAAAAAAATTATACAGAAAATAATAATAATAATAATAAAAAAATAAAAAATGAAATTTAATGTGTAATCGTTTAAGGAATTATTCTCGTTACGAGGAAAAAAAATTGAAACGTGTTCGAGATTAGAATGGAAGAGGAACAAGTATATATAAAAAAAAAAAAAAAAAAAAAAAAAACCAAGGAATTCAACTTAAAAATGAGAAAGAAAACACCATCACCGAGAAACGACGTTGCTATTACTTTTCGTCTGTCAATATTTAAGAACAAAAAAAAATGGAAAAAGCGAAAAGGAAAAAAAAAACTAAGATTCCCCCATCCTATTCTTCAAACTGGTATGCACCTCACAGCCTCATTCACACACAAACACAGGCGCGCGCGCGTATACACAAATCAACACGATTAAATGTCGTTCGATTGAGATTGTTTTCAATTAATTTTCAGTCTTTGTCCAATCAGTTTTTTTTTTTTTTTTAAATAAAGATGAAGAGGAACAAAAATAGAAATGGAAGAGGAACAAAACAACGTTGTGAACGTTTAACAAAAAGCTTTGTTTGAAAATTTATAATTGGACATTGAACAATAAGAATAAATTTATTAAATTTAATAACGTTACTTTTATATATTAAAAGAAAGAAAGAAAAAAGAAATAGAAAAAACACATAAATAATTATACGAATATGGTAATATTTGTAAAGAGTATAAATAAAAGAACTTTAAGAAAAAGTGGGATACGAACGGATTGATTGATCATCAAACACGAACGACGTATAATTTTCTACTTGGTTTGACTCATTAGTAAAGTTTCAGGATTCATTATAAATTCGGCAAAAAGATAGCGAACGAAGTTTGTCTTATTGTTAGACATCATCAGGTTTTCTTCCTTGCTATATACATAAAGTACATATAACATTTTCTCTCTTGGAATATATCGTGTGTACGAAGGAATAAAGTAAGAGGAAGAAAGTAAGGAAGGAAGGATGGATGGAAGGAAGGAAGGAAGGAAGGAAGGAAGGTGGGAATAGTCGAGTTTGGTTTACGCATTATAAGAAAGATCGATCTACGTTCTCACGACCGTTCCTTCTCGAGTTTCCTAAGTTTCTAAGTAAATAGACAGAACGTTATACGCGTGCACGCGCTCGAAACGAAGTTAGAAAAGAGAAAAATTTGAGTAAAGAGATAGAGAATATAGAATACTGAGGATTATGACGAAAATGAGAAGATAAAGAAGAAAGAGGAAGAGGTGTAAAAGAATTAAAAATGTATGTATGTATATGTGTGTTTGAAAGAAATAAAGAAAGAAAGAAATAACGAGAGAAAGAGAGAGAGAGAAATAAATATATATGTATACATATATATGTATAATATAAATTTACGTATTATAAATTCACGTATGACGTGTCGTATGATAGAGAAACACATAAATACGTGAAAATTCGCGCGAGTAGATTAAACTCGGTAGAAAATCGAAGCGAGCGTGTGTTCTAGCGTGTGTTCTACAGGGTAATAAGAGATGGAAAATTATTTGTATGTATGTGTATATGTGTATACTGTATGTGTTTTGCGAACTTGAAGTTCCATTGCGAATGTGTATGTATATTACGACGTTATAAGTGTTTGTAAAGCTCTGATATAAAATGAAACAGAACAAACGTGTAAAACGTAAATCACGAAAAACAGAAAGAAAAAAAAAAGGAAGAAAGAAAGAATAGAAAACATGGATTTTTATGGATACTTAAATAACATTTTTATTTTCTTCTCTCTCTCTCTCTCTCTCTCTCTCTCTCTCTCTCTAACTCTCTCTTTATTTCTCTCTTTATTCTTTTTTTTATTCTTTTTTCTATTGATTCGAGTATCGATGATGTTCGAAATAAAATTGTACGAATATTATCTCACGATTTCGATCAATATTATATTTACTTATTTATTTATTTAATTTAATTAATTATTACATTCGTACATATTTTCATTTCTTTGTATTTTTAATTAATTTTTCCTTTCCTTTCTTTTTGCAATCACCACAAACACTCCCAAAATTGCGCGCGTGCAGAAGCGTACTTTACCTTGCGTTTGTTTACCTGACTGATCCACTGCAAATAAATATCTGCAGAAATGAGGAAAAAAGATATGAAAGGTAGAAAAAATAAAAAAATAAAAACAGTTCGTTAACGAAATCTCGTCTCGGGACTGTCGTCCATTTCGAGAGAGAAAGCAAATTAGCGGGGACAAAATTTGTTTGCAAAATAAAATAAAGAAAAAAAAGTAAAAGCATAGAAAAATCAGGTGTGAGCAATGTCATCATCAGTCGACAACGTTGATTCACTCGTAAAATTAATTTGACGTGGTAAAGAAGCCAAATTATGGTTGATTTCGTGCACGCGATATTTTGTTAGTCCCCTGTGTTCCTTTTATTCCTTCCATTCTCTTAATAAACATTCATTAATTGTTTTTTTGTATTTTTTTTTTTTTGTATCGTTAATCTTCTCTTTCTCTTCTCGTACTAACCCACTCTCCCACCACTACATTTATTTGCATAAATCATCGTTATTTTCATTTTTTTCTTTAACAAAATTCTCTCGTTGCAAATTCCAAAAGTCATTAACCTGTATACTCTTCTCTTCTTCTTCTTCTTCTTCTTCTTTTTCTTCTTCTTCTTCTCGTAACGTGACGAATATGTAAACATACACACACACACACACACACACACACACACACTGTGTAATTTGTTGTATATGCAGATGCTTGCGTGTTTATAAATATATTTTTCTGTGCATTTACGTAAACCGACTAAGAGAAAAAATACACCGAGGTACACAATTTTACCAACACTGCCATTTTTTAAGTACACACAAACATGCATATACACACACACACACACAATTCAAAACGATCCTATGTAAGCTTTGTTCCGTCGTCTCCTACAATTCGGTATCTCTTTGACAAAAATGAGAGGACAAAATAAAAACGAAATTCGTTTCCGTGACCTACATTGAAGATAAAAAAAAAAAAAAGAAAAAAAATCCCATAACAAGTTACACGCAACGGAGAAAATTCGATTATACGGTGTGTGAGTAAGAAATAAAAATAGAAAAAAAAACCTTCTAACAATTTTTTAATACTAAAAGGAAGGATTGCTCGTTTCACGTACGATATGGATTTCCTCGTCCGGCCATTATGTATCTTCGTTTCCTTTTCGTACATAATCTTTTACCCAGTTTTCTCTGGAAAAAAAAAAAGTAAATCTATCCTGCTCGCACGTATCCGGGGTCTGGTTTCGTTTCGTTTGAAAAATTTACGAGTCTCTTTCTCTCTTTCAAAAGTACTTGTCACTTTCCACAGGGGGAAGATTTTTCATCTCTCTTCTATGCAAAGAAATATAAAATAATAAATGTGTATATACATATATATTTATATTTTTACGAACGGTCTTCTCATT